CTTTTCAGTATTGTGCTCTTACATGGTTAGGCTCAGTTTTTTGAGGTAGTTCTATGAGTTCAATGGCATATTGGCTCTAAAAGGAGTGGAGGGACCACATGACCACGCCTCCACATCTCCAAAAAGCTTTGGCTTGGAACGCAGACGAGCAGTGTTGCCGAGAGCTTGTCTTTCAGGAAAGACATAGTCTTCACGTTGCCTGAGCCTTGATTAGGGGAAGGGATACGGAAGCAGTCCCCCCCCCCAACTACTTTAGCGCCGTATTAAATCTTTTCGCTCTTTCTCCATGCAAATATAAGTTTGAACGCAGAACGCTATGCGCTCCGGAATCAGCTATTCTTTACGGAGGCTGAGCCACATCACATATACTCACCTGCACCTTCTTACCGACGCAGCTGAAATGTTCTACCAACGTCCCTACGTGTTAACCCTCATAGAACAATCTCGCCTGGATAGCATGACTTGAATGTCGCGTCAGACGCGGCTTGGGCTTACTGGAGAGTGGTTGCCCTGCACCTAACGCTTGAGTGGTTATGCAGTCGTTATCACTGTTGTCAGATGGGCGTGTAAGCGGAGTGTGGGTTTTGGCGCAACGCCAGCTGGTTTTCCGTCGACCATTGCTGCTTCGGGCGTTCAATGGTGGTGGGGAAGAGGCTGACGTTGCACCAAAACCCACGCCGCGCTGACACGCCCCGACTGATTTCAGTGTTAACGACTGTACAAGCCATTCAGCAGCCATGTATTGTGAGAATTCTCTGGACAATTGAGCTTGTGTAGATGTTCCACTACGGTAATATGTTTCAGAAGTTACCGATCACCAATCCGTACAGTATCCCACGCACCTTTCGACTAACTTCTTCTCGATCGGATATCGTGGAAATTGGCGAGGAAGTACTACAAATCCCTGGCCTTGGTTCGGTAACAACACCTCTGCTTTTTCACAACGTGGTTCGGAATCCGATTCAATTAGAGGTACGCTATTTCATCTTTTGGATCCAGTACTTGCAGTCTTGTTCGCCGCGGATGATGGGGCTGGGTTTGTCGCGCCAGGAGCTCGTTCTCCACCAGTGTGGAAGCGGGTTAGTGGCAACAGCTGGTGGAGAACTACTGATGCCTTGGACGCTCTCAGTTTCGGCTGCGAGCTCATTTATGAAGTGCTAGATCACCAAATCCGCTGAAAACTTGTACACGGGGTTATTTAACATCCTGATTACGAATATGACATTCATTCTTGGCGCTGGCGCTAATGGAGGACACTACGATTCATCTGCGCTCTGCTAAGGCTGAGCCCAGAAGATAATCGTAGTGTCAGGCGCAGCAAAGCCTAGTCCGTAATCGAGGATGTTCTTAATGCTATCATACAAGATTTCAGCGGATTTGGTGATCTAGCACTTCATAATGAGCTCGGCAGTCAAGATGAGCGCGTCCAAACGGTATCAGCCGTGGGAGCCGGTGCAGTTCGGCTTGCTGGGAACCGCTTGGTACTGCCAAGCTTGTACAGGCCTGCACAGGCGGGGACCTGTAAACTTCTCTAATCAAAACTGCTCACTTGAGCAACCTTGCAGCTTACTAGGAGTTTACAGGTCTGGCTCAAGTGAAACCTTTTGGTTAACGTGCACTAAAAGAACGAATTAGAAACGTGCGAAGTGTCGTTCCCCAAACGGGACAGCGCCCGATAGCCTTAAGGGCACAAGCCACCCTGATCGCTTAGGCGAAGGAATGGGCGGAGACAGATTCCTCAATTGGTGCGCCTATCATTTTGAGGGCAAGAGAGGAGCACCATTAAGCAGGTCACTGGTGCTGCCCTCATGCCCTTTTTTCGCCCATGCCAAAGCGCGCGCGATTGTCGCAAACTGCCCCTTTGAAAACTAGAGGATTCGCATATGCAACGTCAAAGTGCCATTTTTTTTGCTTCGTTCATAATCTTTGTGCATATCAGGGAACGTATTTTCATCGTGGTTTAGAGAAGAAGGTGGAAATAGCAAGCGAGTCTGTGGGGTCAGTAAATATTTCGTTTTAAGGTGATGATATTCGTGTTCAACGGCGAAACAGCACAACAAGAAGAAACCATAAAGCTCATCGTCGCCTACACGGAATGACCAACGATGTCCTTGTGTTGACCGAAATTTTTAACCTCTTCCTCAGATCACACTTATGAAAGATGTGCCAAATTTCCCGTGTCATTCTCTTGAAAGTTTCTTATTGATACTTTCACCGGCAAATGTCTCTCCAAGGTGTACATAGTTACACTCCTTATCCCTGAGCCAGAGTAGGCGTGGCATTTGAACATGGCACGGAACTGGTTACTCGTGGAATATTCCAGTCTGGGACAACTGTCATCTTGTTCTGTGTTGGACAGAGACACGTCAAGATGGAAATATTCCACCAGAAGCATAGACACCTTCAGGTTAAGTTGAAGAATGCAGCCCCGCCTACCCGATCTCAGGGATCTCGAGTATACTTATGCTCGTGGGCGAAGAAATCTGTGGAGAGAGTGAACCATTAAGCCTTTTTCATTGCTGAGCTTCTCCTCCATTGGTGCGCTCCTTACTCCAAGACGGTGAAGAGTCACCTATTGGATCAGCATAGACAAATCCTAGAGTGTCAATCGGTTCGCTCACTAAAACTTGTGTCAGACTCTTTCATGAACCGGGTGCAACAATATTGCCAGTATTCCCTAGTCTACTTTCCTTAATTTTTCGTTCTCATTGTAAATCATATTCTATCTGGATAAATGTTGCAATATTTCGTGAACACCTATTAGCTTTGCAAATGCATCCTTATTGAGGCGGCCCTTATGGTGCACCGGGCGCTGTTTGTCGACGGAGGGGGGGGGGGGGCATTTTGTACTACCATTGCTTCCCTAGTTCCGGTTTACAAATCTCACCCTGGTAAAACTTGTGAACCCTTGTGAAGCTGGTGCAAGATCGTCTAGCCACCATCCTAAAACGTGTCAACTCGAGAAAAGGCTACCTAGATGGGTCGGCACATCTATGGAAAGCAGAATGCCCCCGTCGACAAACTGCGCCGGTGCACCGGTTAAAACTACAGGGGTAGATGCAGGTTTGTATTCTGGATAAGTTCAAGCCTTGACTCATCATTCTTATGATTCTCATCATTCTTATGAGAAGTCCTTAGTTAACTCTTTTTCTTCGGCACAGCTAGGCCTGTGGGGGGGGGGGGGGCGTTTCGCCCATTCGGTACTTCCCATCGTCGTGTTCATTGCTTACGAGTGTTGACAAATGGTCCCTATGAATTTCGGCTTGTAACACTTTACGGCTCCACAAGATTTCACAGGCCCTTCCTGGACGGCTTGACACTTCGATGGGAAGTAGCGAAAGCGCGATTTCACCCCCACCCTCCAAAGCCGAACAGCGCATTTTATTCCTTCTTGTGATTCCCTGGGAAGTGCTACTATTTCCATGTGTAGTGGATGCAATTCGCAGTAGAAATGGATGGTTAACGACTGTCACACTAGGGCTCGTAGTAAAAACGCTAGGGCCTCTGAATGCTTTATACACGCTGAGAGACATGAGTGGGTGTCGAAACGAATAAGTGGTGCGTTGATGGTGCAGAATCACATCCCCCCTTTTCCAACGCCTAGCTTTTCTTCGTGGGCTCAGTGTTTCTGTATGCTCCGGTAGTAAATTGTGCCAAAAGAAACGAAAGGAAGTCTGTATTCTGGGCACTCTCAGTGGTTAGTTTTCTTTGTCCTGATGCTGTTGTTACCCGTTCATGCCCATCTTACTAATACCAGTCGCGGATGGTTAGCCTTAGAAGGTACCACGTTAGGGACGGCAAATGAAATTTCGTCGGGCGCTCCGAGGGAAGCAAAATCCTTGGAGCTCGCTCAGAACATTGCTAACTCTAACGGTTACTCTTCAAGCGTTGACACCTTCCTGGACCACCCATAGGAAGCAAAATGGCTCGGGCGTCAACCAACTTGAAAGGTGTCCTCTTGTCTGCCCCTTGTGAGTGATGCGGCCAGTTCTGCCGTAAGAAAGCTTGCGCAGGGGTGGTCTCAGCGCGTCGTGTAGGTTGCCGAAATCAGCTGATTCGCAACAACCGGTACGATCAATATTGCGGTACCCTGCACTGTGTTATCCTTCCTACAGACGGGTGGG